CTTCATGTTATACCTTCTGAGTATCTGGAAGGTTTGGTCAATGTGACTCACGTGTTCGGCCGCCTGGAGGCTTTTGACCAACATGTCGTCCACGTAGACCTCCATGGTTTTGCCAATGAGTTCGGCAAACATCATGTTGACTAACCTCTGATATGTGGCCCCGGCATTTTTCAATCCGAAGGGCATGACTTTGTAGCAATACAGCCCCCTGTCCGTGATGAATGATGTAGCTTCCTCATCAGGTCGGAACATGGGTATTTGGTTGTACCCCGAGTACGCATCCATGAAGCTAAATAGTTCATGCCCAGCAGTGGAGTCGACCAGTTGATCAATTCTTGGAAGTGGGAAGCTGTCCTTGGGGCATGCCTTATTCAGGTTTGTGAAGTCCACACAGACCCTCCATTTCCCGCTCGACTTTTTCACCAGAACCGGGTTGGATATCCACTTCGGGTATATGACCTCTCTGATGAAACCACTATGATCGAGTTTACTTACTTCGTCTTTCAGTGCCTCGTATCGTTCCGGATTCAGCGCGCGTCTCTTCTGTCTATGGGGGGCATAAGAGGGGTTGAAGTTAAGGTGATGGCAACTGATCCTGGGATCTATCCCCACCATATCCTCATGTTTCCATGCGAAGACATCTAGGTTTTCTTTCAGGAATCGTATCATCTCAATTCTTGCTTCAGGCGATAATGACTTCCCTATGCGCAAGACTTGATTGGGGTCTTCTGGATTGACTGGGAAAGTTTCCAGTTCTTCCATTGGGGTCGCGTTTGGTTCATAATCAATTATTCGGGGGTCTAACTCGTCAAGAGGGTGTCCTTGTTCAGGAGCCTCTTCCATTATGACATCTTTCTCTTGTTCAGAGGTATGCCCTTGTTCAGGGGCGTCGATCATCTCCACATCCGTACCGGTTTCAGCGGGCACTGCTTGAATTACATTGACAGTCCGGGGCTCCGATTTTCGTAGCGAGTTCAGATAGCATGCCCTAGAGCTCATCTGATCGCCCCGGACCGTTGCAATCCCTCATTCGGTTGGGAATTTCATGCACAGATAGTGAATGGACGTCACAGCCCAAAGGTCTTTTAGAGCCGGTCTGCCCAACACCCCATGATAAGCTGACCTATGATCTACCACCAGAAATTCCATGAAATGCTGGGCGACCAGGGGGGCCGAGCCTATTTCCACAGGCAGGGTAATCCGTCCTCGTGGGATGATGCTGTCCCCAGTGAATCCGAACAGCGGGTCGGTCATGGGGATTAACCCATGTTCAATTTGCATTTTGTCAAAAGTGGAGCCAAACAATATGTTCACGGAGCTGCCGTTGTCAACGAGCATGCGTCTTAATCTGTTTCTAGCCACTACGGCCCTTACGACCAGAGCGTCGCAATGGGGATGGTGAACTCCCTCTGCGTCTTCCTGCGAGAAGGTGATTGGGGCCATCTTGTTTGCTGTTTTTGATTCGTTGACAATGTAGGTGATCATCGGGGGACCCTTAGCTTCTCTTGTATAATTTCTCTGGGCATTCCTGGTGTTGCCACCGACGTGGGGTCCCCCGATGATGGTATCGATTTCCCTGATGACCTGGCTTCCAGCGAATTGAGCTTGGTTCTCTTTCCTGGATTGGACTCGATTTCTCGATTCTCTTCTGCTAGGAGATTGTTCTTGGTGACCCCTTCCTCCCCTCCTCGGGGAGGTGGATCTGCGAGGGTGCTCATTTCTGCCGGAAGTGAGGGGATTGCTTCGCTCAGGGCGCCGGTTGGTATCCCGACATTCACTGGTGTCATGCCCATATAGTTGATGGAAAGTACAAAATCTTGCTCCTGGCAAGGGCCTATTGGGCCTCTTCTTCTTCTTTTTGTTGTCAGTCCTTCCGGATGGTGCTGCCTCAGTGGGTGCGCTATCATATGCCAATACCGACACTGCGTTCTACGTGGCGGAAGCTAGGGCCTGTCCGGATGTGGGAGCTATGGTATGCCCTGCTTGGGTCCATTGCTAAGTAACGAGGTGCGCTGCGGGGCCTCGACCTACCTGCCTCTGTGGGGGAGGGAGTCCCTGCGCGGCACGGTTACGATGATCAATCATTTCTTCACTAATTATTTCCACCCTCATCATCTCCACCAGCTCGTCGTACGTGGAGGGATTCTTGCTGCGCACGTCCCTCCAAAACAAAGTGTTCATGTTGAGACCACCTTTCAGGGCCGACAGGGCTTCCCTGTCAGTGACCTGTTCGCAGTAAGTAATCTAGTCTGTAAACCTGGCGAGATAGCTTTTCAGCGTCTCTCCGGGGGCCTGCCTCATGTCTTGCAGGCGTTGGATAGGTGCCTCTCCTTCCCTGCGTGAGAGGTACTGGTTCAAAAATGCTTTCTTTAAATCCGGCCAACTTCTGATGCTTAGGGGAGGAAGCCTGCTGTACCATACCTCGGCGGCTCCGCCTAGTGTCAAATGGAAGGCTCTGCACTTTAGAGCAGGTGAGGCTCCCCTAAGACTCATTTGCGTCATATACTTTGTGAGGTGCTTCTCCGGATCCCCTTTTCCCTCGTACTTGGGGATCTTCGGGGGCATGAAATTAGTTGGCATTGGGAAGCTTCGGATTTCCCTTGAGAAAGGGAGGTTATCGTCATCGTTGTCAATCTCATAAGATCGACAGGGCCCCTCTGATCCTTGGTCATCTTGGACGTCTTGGGGTGGAGAAGGTGCTTTCCCACGGCTCCCCCAATCGACTAAGTTTCTCCTCTCCTTCCTGTTTCTAGGAGGAGGGACATACTCTTCTTCGTTGTCTGACCGGACCGACCCTCTTGAAGGGCGGATCCTATTGCTAGGATCGTTCCCTATCCGGTCGAAGACGCTTACTGACCTCTGATCATGTCCTTGTGGACAGTTGTCCCCCAAGGGTGGTTCTGATGGGTGGCTCTCCTGCATATAAGATGTTGCTTCGGTGTTATCCTCTCTTTCGAGAGGACGTTCGGTGTGCCGGCTCATATGGCCTCGAGAATGAGACAAAGGGATTTCCCGTACCGGATACGATCCTTGGGGCATCTGGTGTCCCTGAGCTTGCATGAGAAGTTCCCGCATCGCCATATTCTGAGCTGCTATGTCTCTCATGCCTGCAGCTATCTGGGCCATTCCTTCGGTGAGTACGGCTGTTCTTTCACCTCGTCGACGCCGGTGATGCGGTCTCTGATGAGTAACATTGTTATGAAGTACTTCCTCCTCAGAGGCCTCTCTGATGGGGTTGTCTTCACGGCTGTAGCTCATCCTACCTCTTCTTTCAAGGATAGTAAGAACTTGGATTGTAACTTGACTTTTATTCTTTTTCAAGAATGCCGCCCTTTTCAGGGTCAGTCGCCGATTTTCCGGTGGCTCCCCCGACGGGGAATGTAGGACTTTGAATGGGGAATGACGTTTCCCACAGACGGCGCCAAACTGTTGACCTCTAAAAATGGCTCTTCCACGTGGCCAACTTGTAGCTACTCTACGTATTCCTCCCTACGAAATGAACAAACTGTCAGGCGCACACGGCTGGAACCAGCGGTGGTGGCGGCCGTATACACTCCGACGGTCAAGTCAGATTTGGGTGGTCGGAACAGTGTCCAGGGACTACACA